CAGAGCCTGAAGACTGCTTCAGATTCTGTATCTCTCTCTCTCTCTCTCTCTGACCCTCCCCTGCTGATGCTCTGTCTCTGTCTCTCTCTTTCTCAGAAATAAATAAAAACATTAAAAATTAAAAAGAAAACAAAAGGACACCCCCATTTCATACAAGAGTCAGTGGTAGAAAAAACTATTAAAGTTCTTGGTCCACTGGCTTTCAGTTTGGGTCATAGCCTACAGAAGCGCCCTGTGATATAAAGGATATCAAGTTATTTAAAAGCTTTCCTTGGTGTTGCTCCTTAGGAATATGTGGTTTTCCCATATTCCACTGGTTTTCTTACCAGTTCTATGCAAGGTTCCACTTTCATTTATATTAAAAGCATTCTACAAATCCTACAGGTTTGCATTGGATTGTTTATAGAAATAAACTGGAAAGGAAAGGAATGATTGCTAAGCTGGATTTCAGTAACAGAGTAATCAGAGACTTTCAAAGAGTTCATTTTATTCCTTATTTATGATTTATAGCTGTTTCTTTAACTTCTTGCAAGGTACATGAAGAAGCATAAGCCAGAAAACTATGAAAACATACATAAATATTTATTCAAATGTGTTACTTTTTGCCTGATAACAATGGTTTTTGTTTTTTTTCTTAAGTTTTCTCTATTGGAGCATATTTTTCAGAGCAGCTTGCTCAAGGTTCCTTTCTGTTTTGTTTTCCTTTTATTTGTTTTTGCACATTACTAGGGAAGAGGCAAAAGTTTTATTCTCCCAGAAGAAATTGCACTCACTGCAACTTTATCACACCCTAAGCTGAAAAGCATGAGGATGTGATAATGATGCTGTTACTATTGCTTCCTAAGGAGCACAGGTGAGAGGCAAAGCAAGCAAACCATCAGGTCACACTCCCAGCCTTGTCTTCTACATAATCTGAAGCGTAAAAAGAGCTTTGCACAGATCTGGAATTTATAATACCATTCTCAAAAGTCTGTGTGTGTAGGGATGTGTGTGTGTACATGCATGCCCACCTTTTATTCCTTAACAACATCTCTAGGGATATTAACATTATGCCTAAACAATAGATTGAAAAGTGAAAAAATTCTAACATCTGCAAGAACTAAATAACTGTTTTGACTCCAGTGCACCAATTTTACCAGATTAAACATTGTTTTAATGTTGCCAATATAAGCCAGAAAAGGAAATCTGTGGGCCTAATGATAAACCCAAACATCCCTCTCTCGTTGATATCAAATGCAGACACTATGCAAGGTATATTAATAACACTTAGCCCAGACATTAGCTGGGTGGTTGTGTTAATGATAAGGGTAAAGTGCTCAGGTTCTAGAGTTAGAACACGTTGCTTCACATTATAGCTGTGCCTCTCTCTGGCTATGAGACTACACAAGTTATTTAATCTTTCTGGGACTCAATTTCCTCCTCTGTAAAATGTGAGTATTCTACCCTAGTTTTGCTGTTGGGATTCTATGTACTAAATGATTCAACTATAAAATGTGTTAAAGAGCTTAGTACAATGCCAGACAATTAGTAATCAGTAAAGTCAGCTAACATCAGTATGCAAAGTCTCACTGAAGATTTTACAATTGAATGACATCTCATCAGAGCATATTAGTTAGGTACCTAATAATTATGTCTAGAACACTGAGTCCATTCACATTGAAGTTACATTGAAAGTGTTTTAAACATGGTAGCGTAAAAAACAACCCCCTTAGTGACTGGAGAAAAAAACTCTCTTGGCCCATTAAAACAAAGTAAAGTAACACAGCATATGACTTAGGGAAGGAAATAAAATTTGTAGATACTAGAAATGTTTAGCAATCTCTGATTTTCAGTGGAAGGAAAATGTTACCTTATGTAAGGCAGAGGCATAACTTGGCTCAGGGCAGATTCATTGCACAGGGCAAGTTGGTTATGAAATCTTTGTGACAGGAATCCCAAATTATACATCAATTCATTTAATAGCCAGAATTTTGGGGAATGGAATTTGTTTTTGTTTTTAAAACATTAAATGAGTACTCAATGCTTAATACTTGCTCTTTGGCTTTAAATGATCTATTTAATGTATGCCATTTTCATGGAAGCATGATCTAAGAGTGTATGTTTCAACAGCAAAAGCAGCAGAAACAACAAAAACAATTCCATAGTTTGTATTCCCAAACACATGTGAATAGCAGTTAGCTTTCTTTCTTTTTTTTCTTTTCTTTTCTTTTCTTTTCTTTCCTTCTTTCTTTTCCTTCCTTCCTTCCTTCCTTCCTTCCTTCCTTCCTTCCTTCCTTCCTTCCTTCTTTCCTTCCTTCCTTTCTTCCTTTTCTTTCCTTTCCTTTCCTTTCCTTTCCTTTCCTTTCCTTTCCTTTCCTTTCCTTTCTTCACTCACTCATTCGTTCATTAATTTATTCATTTATTTATTTATACAAGCAAGCAAACAATCTGGTTTAAATCATTCTGTATTTTATGATGGCTGAGGTTATAATTGGACTTTTCCAGGGCCATAGTCAATACCAGAAATTAACAGAGCAACATCTATTTTCTAAAATAAAGGCAATAAATAGGTTTGAACATGCAAGAGCTCAGATCATATAATTACTATGAGGCCTTCTTGAAGATACTCTTCGAGGCTGATAAGAGATGAAAGGTTAGTAAAGAATGTTAGGAGTGTAGGACTGAGACATTAGAACCATAAGGCTCTGATAGCAGGGTTTGTCATTGGAAGACTGACTATTCAGATTTCAGGACTACTGTGCAAACCATTGTGTAAGCTGTGGTTATAAAACATAGCACAACTTTCATAAATCTTGACAGTGAATAAATCATGTAACTAAAAAAAAGTTGGGAAGAAAAAGGGGAGTGTGCATAAGAAGGAAAGTATAAGTTTGGTTGTTTGTCTTTTACAACAATGGATCAAAATATACACTTAGAACTGATAAATCTAGTAACAGGAGTATAATAAAGTCTTTTAATTGTTAAAAGCTTAATGCTAAGAAGGATTTTTTTTAATTTTCTATAATTGATAGAGAGGAGATGGGATAGCAGAAAATCATTCTATGTACCAAATCACTATTCATATAGTATTTTGAAAGGAGCAATGTAAGTAAATAATTAAGTGTACAATTCTAATAAATCACTTCATTGATAACTATGTTGAGAAACTATAAATTATGATTTATATAAAGGGGAGTTTAGTAATATACAGCAAAGATTTAAAAATACACATTTTCGTTGACTTAAAAATTCCATTCAAAAATTTATCCTGTAGGGTGCTTCATGGGTTAGTTGGTTGTGTTCAGCTGTTGATCTCACCTTAGGTCTTGATCTCAGGGTTGTGAGTTCAAGCCCCATGTTGGGCTTCATACTGGGAATAGAGCCTACTTAAAAAAAATTACCTTGTAAACTCCAACATGGATGGAATGAGATATGTATGGTTATTTATTGTAGCTTTATTTGTAAGTGAAAGATTAAAAACACCAAAATGTCTATCAGTAGGGGAACAATTAAACAAATAATGTAAAAGCACACAATGAGAGGGAAAGAGGGGTAGGAAGTTGTATGTGCTGATATGGGATGATATCCAAGATACAGTAAATGAAAAAAGAAATAAGCAGAAGAATACATGCTACCATTTGAAACAAAATGTAAAAAGAAATGCTTGTATTTGTATTAAATATCTCTAGATGCATACCTAAAAACTAGCAACTTTAGGGGAGAACTGGGTGCTAGTGTTAGAGGTAGGGAGAGAAATTCAGTTTAGATCCTCAGCTCATTTTTAAATGTTACAGCAATAGTATTAATTACATTTGAAGTGAATTAAGTATTTAAGGAAAACCAAGGAGAATTCATCTGTGTCATTTGCGACCTCAGTGAAAATGGCTCATCAGAATGGCTTGAATGGAGTAGGCTGAGAGGAAAATGTGGGGTAAGAAATTGGAGTAAGGACAATAGACACATGGACATATTTTTAATAAGTTTACTGGTGTTTGAATTTATAATTCAGGGCAATAGAGTTAGGAGAATTTTAAACAATAGGTAATAAAGATAGACCATAACAGAACTATAGATAATGGGAAAGACTGATAGGACTCCAAAGTATTTTCATGTTAGTGGGGGATGATTCAGCATCTAGGATACAAATTTCACCCAAAATAATGACTTTGGTTTCAAAACACTAGTTTTATTATTTTTTTCTCTCTGATAGGAATTATATTATATAAGGACTTGCCTTCTATTAAGGCCACTCTCCCCTGGTGGCAGTAAGCACATTTTATCTCTATTTCTGTAATGAAAGGGGGCAGGAATGATCATTGAATAGATGGAACAAAGCCATGTGATCATGGGAAGAGGCAGTTTTGGTGGGGCCAGCAGGCAGTGTGGTATATTATCTCCACCCTATTGTTCCTGCTTCTTTGAGATGCCACCAATATCCAGAGTATGTGCTGCTTGGGTGAGTTGAAGGAAGGAGCAAGTGACAGGGCATTCTGTAGGTCTAGCCCTACAGAATAAATGGAATATGGTTATTGTGTGAAAAAGACAGGTATAGAAAAGTTACCAAATGTTTCTATTTCAAGACGTACAATTAAGTTGAGATTTATTTTCTTTCCATTCTAACATGTATTCTACTCTTGTAGTATATCTGTAACTTCTGAGAAAATTTATTTTGTTTATTGCATCCGCCTGTTAACCCCACCCCCGTACTGTGGTTCACACCCAACCCAAGCCATGGCCACCTACACTCAAGTGTCTCTTCTTTTCCTATCCTTTTTTGATGTACTATTCTGTGGCTTTCTGTTTCTATCCTCTGAAAATTATTCCACTTTCTCACTGATGAGCTCTCTGTCTTGTTCTGCTCCGACTTCATTTTTTGGAAGTCTCAGTGGACAATATAGACAAATAGGGGGAGTTATTGTATATTCTTCTGGTACATGAATGAGTAGAAGAAATTCTAGCACCTATAATAGGGTCTGTGAATTGAACACAGGGTCAGGAAATATTATTTAAGGTAATGAAGAGCGCTCCCTCTGGCAGCACATGTACTAAAATTGGAATAATGCAGAAAAGACTAGCGTGGTTCTTGTGCAAGGATAACACATAAAATAATGGATAATACAATTTCAAAAGTAGTAGAATTTAGTTTAATTCGAGGCAGCTCTATTGATAGAGCTGTCTAACACAGAACAGAACCAGGCTTTTCTTTCACAATATGTAAGGTTTTCATTCTGGTCACCTAACTCCCAGTTTGTTATAGTGGGCTTTCTTAATTAGATAGGTAGATGGTCTAAAGATGCCTAAAATCCTTTCCAAATCTTAATAGGCTATGATATTGGGTTCATTCCCTACTTATCATGGAAGTTCATTCTTAAGTCTGTATTGCTTGTGAAGAAGTCAGCTTGCGTACAGTAAACTGATTCACTTTTTAGTAAGATATCAGTTCTAAATCAGAATAGTTTTATCCTTAAAAAGTCAATTTGCGTAAGTATTCAACCAGCTTTTGCTAAAGAGGGGGTTTGCTGAAATGAGCCGAGACAGACTGCACAGCCTTGCAGCATAGAAAGGCAGTCAAGATGAGAGACAACTTGCTCAGCTGTTCAAAAGAAGGGAGAGGTACTGGGTCCAGACCTGCTCCAGAGAGAAGCTCAAAGGTACTCAGCACTGGCAGAACAAAGAACCCCAGGAAGAAGGCTTTGCTCTAAAAGAGAGTTTTTTGCTTCAGGAGAAGACTGTTCCAGGAAAAGAAGACTGACTGTTTCAAACTAAAAAAAATTGCTGATCTCATAGCTCTTAGCAAAATAGTGAGTAGAAAAAAATATTAACTTGAATCCAGCTGAGAGAAGTGGATCAAAGAAAACCTATTGCATATCTAGGAAAAGAAATGACTGTTTCTTGTACTTAGCTTTGGCCTGCTTTTCCTTTGTTTTCTGTTTTGTATTTTTCTATTATTTATGGTTGATAAATGTGCTTTGAAACTATAAGCCTTTTTTGTTTGTTTTCTCTGTATCATTCATATTTAATTCTAGGAACATTTATGGAATGTTGCTTATAGAGCAGACACTATGTAAGTGCTACAGTTGAAAACTAAGCAGGACATGGCCCCTTTCCGTATAGGAGCCTCATGGGATAGCTACACAACTAATGGTAGTAGTGGAGAGAGGTTAAAAAGTACAGGTTTTAGAATAAGATGGATTGAAATTTAAATTCTGACTCTATCATTTCTTATCTATAAGGACAAAAAAATATAAAATGTATTCTAATCTTATATAAAATGTAGATCTGTCTCATGGATTATGAAAATTAAATGAGATTATGTTATTGACTGAATTGGACACCTCCCTCCAAATTTATATGTTGAAGCTCTAATTCACAACGCATTTGACTGCATTTGAAGGTAAGGCCTTTAAGGATTAATCCATTTATTTGCTGGGAGAAAGGTAGACATATTTCTAGTAAAATACATGAGGAAGCATATTTAGGAGATTTCATTCAATGAACTGAATATCAGAAGACATGTCTGTAAAGATCCAGATCTCAGTTGTAAATGTCAGGCTGCCTGGGTATCTCATTTTCCTCTAGCTCCATTCTTGACTTTTTCCTGTCTCGCTCACTGCCTCATGAGTTGACCTGTAAGGGCTGTAAGTAGGAGGTTCTTATGCCTTCTGGACTTTCCAGGCAATGGAGAACCGAAGAAAATACCAGAGGAAGGTAGAGAAAGAGATCAAGATATTTATTTCTCTGGTTCCTTCTCTGGGAGGTAGTCTCTGACTGTCTGTGTCCATTGATTGGACTACTACACTACATATATCACTACTATATATAGGTTGACCTGTTCTATCTTTAAGTCTCTTTCTTTCCAGGTTCTAGAAACCTCTTCCTTACTTTGTTGCTTTGAGCCTAACTGTGGCAACAAATCTTCCCTTGAGACTCCCAGATTCTTGCAGTGTCCCTTTGTAATTTTCCATGTCCTGTCTACACCATTGTGATTCATTCTTTTGTAAAAGCAAACGAAAGTTGTCTTAGAGTTGTCCTGATTTGAGTGTGATCTTTTTCCTGTTAGAACTTTACTGATGAGTATTGATTTCTGTATTAAGACTTTACTCATTCATTCATTCATTTATTCTATCATAAACATCTGCTGAGTACTTATTAGGGTGCTGCTAAATGCTATCTCTGGTCTCATGGGATACATGCAAATAGCAATAACAACATAGCATAATAGCTGTTAAAATGCAGACAGTATAAGGTACTCAGGACTACATAGCAATGATGCCTAATCTGAACATGATTTAAGTAACAGTATGCAATGTGAGATGGCACAGTGGAAGATAAGAATGCAGAAATTTAGTATATAACAAGATGGTACTACATTCTAGAAATGACAGTGGATGACAGGGAGTAAAACATGGTAGATTTAGCTGTATACATTTTGTCTAAAGAATTAGTCACAGAAACACTAAGATGAGAATGATCCATAGCCTTGGCCTGGACTGAACTGGATGTGGCTCTTGTTTAGGTAGATTTAGGGATAATTTACCTCATTAGATGAAATCATTTTGGTCCTTTAAAAAGAATTGAGGTAAGAGACATCTGCGTGGCTCAGTTGGTTAAGTGTCTGAGTTCAGCTCAGGTTATGATCTTGTGGTCTGTGAGTTCGAGCCCCATATTGGGCTCTGTGCTGACGGCTCAGAGCCTGGAATCTGCTTTAGATTCTGTATCTCCCTCTCTCTTTGTCCCTCCCCACTTGTTCTCTCTCTCTCTCTCTCAAAAATATATACATAAACATTTAAAAAGATGAAGTAAAATTGACCTACAACATTGTTGTAGTTTCAGGTTTACAACATAGTGGTTTGAAATTTGTATATATTGTGAAATGGTCACAATAACTCTAGTTAACATCTATCACTATACATAGTTAAGAATTTTTTTCTTATAAACTTTTAAGATTTATTCTCTTAGCAACTTTCAATTATGAAATACACTATTATTAACTATAGTAGCCATGCTCCACATTACATCCCCATGACTTAACTAATTTCATGACTGGAAGTTTGTACCTTTTGATTTCCTTTACCCATTTTGCCCCACCCCCACCCCCCACCCCCACCCCCCCGCCAACTATTCCCCTCTGGCAATTATCAATCCTATGAGCTTTTATTAGGTTTCACATATGAGTGAAATCAAATATTATTTTTCTTTGACTGATTTCACTGAGCACAATGCCTTAAAGTCCAACTATGTTGCAGATGACAAGGTTTTGTTCTTTTTTTTATGGCTGACTAATACTTCTGTGTGTGAGGGGGAGGATGTGTGTGTGTGACCTCTTCTTTATCCATTCATTCACAGATAGACACTTAGGATGTTCCAGTGTTTGGCTATTGTAAATAATGGAGCAATGAACCTGGGAATGCCTGTATCTTTTCAAGTTGGTGTTTTCATCTTCTCCAGATACCCAAATGTGGGAATTTTACTTTTTATTTTTAGTTTTTTGAGAAACCTCCATACTGTTTTCTATAGTGGCCGTATGAATATACATTCCCACCAAGCGTGCACATCTTTGCCAACAATTATTTCTCATCTTTTCAATAATAGCCACTCTAACAGGTATGAGGTGATAATTCATTGTGGTTTTGATGTGCATTTTCCTGCTGATCAGTGACATTGAATGTCTTTTCAAGTACATATTGACAATATGTATGTCTTCTTTGGAAAAACGTCTGTTGAGGTCCTCTGATCATTTTTTAATCAGATGGTTTTATGTTAATGAGCTTTGTAAGTTCTTTATATATTTTGGATATTAACTTCTTATCAGGTATATGATTTGCAAATACTTTTTTCCCCACTGATCAGGTTGCCCTTTCATTTTGCTGATAATTTTCTTTGCTGTGCAGAAACTTTTTAGTTTGATGTCTATTTTTGCTTTTGTTGGTTTTGCCTTTTCCTGTGTGTTTTAAAATTTTAAAAATCATCACTAAAACCAATGTAAAGAAGCTTACTGCCTATGTTTTTTTCCAAGATTTTTATAGTTTCAGGTCTTGCATTCAAGTCTTTAATCTATTTAGACTAAATTTAAGTGAATATTTACACTAAATATACGAAAAAGCTTACACATTTTAGTGTATGATAGTGGTCCAGTTTCATTTTTTTGCGTGTGGCTGTCCAATTTCCCCAAAGCCATTATTAAAAAGACTGTCTTTTTCCCATTGTATATTTTTGTCTCCTTTGTTGTAGATTAATTGACCATATAAGTGTGGGTTTATTTCTAGGCTCTCTATTCTGTTCTATTGATCTATGTGTCTGTTTTTGTTCCAGTAGCATGCTGCTTTGATTGCTACAGATTGGTAGTTCATCTTGAAATCTTGGATTGTGATACCTGTAGTTTTGTTCTTCTTTCTCAAGACTGCTTTGATTATTCAGGAGCTTTTTTGGTTCCATATAAATTTTAAGGCTTTATTTCTGTGAAAAATGGCATTGGCTTTTTGATAGAGATTACATTGAATCTGCTGATTGCTTTGGGTGGTATGGACATTTTAGCTACGAATTCTTCTAATACACAAGCACAGAAAATCTTTCCATTTTTTTGGTGTCATCTTCAATGTCTTTCATTAGTGTTTTATAGTTTTCAGTGTACAGACCTTTCACCTCTTTGGTTAAATTTTATTCCTAGGTATTTTATAATTTTTGATACAATTGTAAATGGGATTGTTTTCTTAATTCCCCTTCTGATAGTTCATTATGAGTGTATAGAAATGCAACAGATTTTTGTGTATTGATTTTGTATCCTAAAACTTTACTGAATTCATTTATTAGATTTAAATCTTTTAGTGGTGTCTTTAAGGTTTTCTACATATAACATCCTGCCACGTGCAAATAGTTAAAATTTTATGTCTTCCTTCTTTTTTCTTCTGATTTGAGTGCTTTTTATTTCTTTTTCTTGCCTAATTGTTCTTAGCTTGGGCTCCCAATACTGTATTGAATATAAGTGGCAAGAGTGGGCATCTTTGCCTTGTTCCTGATCTTAGAATTATGATGGATGACAGAGGATGAAATAGCGAATCATGACAGCTCTAGGTGTACACATTTTGTTTAAAGAATTAGCCACAACAGTCCTGTGGTGAGAGTGGTCCA